CATAGTAATTCATACACAGAGCATATAGTGCATACATAAACGGAGGCTGTGTCTCCATAGCAACTCATACATTTATCATATAGTGGATACCTATACTGAGGCTGTGTCCTCACAGTAACTCACATATAGAGCATATAGTGCATACATAAACTGAGGCAGCGTCCTCATTGTAACTCATACATAGAGCCTATAATGGATACATATACTGAGGCTGTCTCCATAGAAACTCACACATAGAGCATATAGTGGACACATATACTGAGGCTGTGTCTCAATAGAAACTCATATATATATCTCATATATAGGATACTTATACCGAGGTGGTGTACTCACAGTAACTCTTATATAGACCACATAGCGGATACATATACTGAGGCCGTATCCTCCTAGTAACTCCTACATAGAGCATATAGTGGATACATATACTGAGGCCGTGTCCTTATAGTAACTCATACCTAGAGCATTTACTGGACACACTCTGTTCATATGTTAGAGCATAAAGTGAAAACACACCGATGCTGTACCACCACCAGATCATGTATGGATACTGAGGCCCCGTGGTCTCATATGCAGTATATTCCTCCACTCTCTGAAAAAGCCTGCTTATTTGTGATAATGCACAGATATCAGCAATCAATGCCACATATCTTGATAGGAACAAGTGTGTGTGGACTTTAAAATCATATACATGTGAGTACTTCAGTCACCCAGGGAAGTTCTCTTACCTTGGATATTTCTTCAGGACTGTGAAATTCCAGCAGACTTTATACAGCCAGGATATCCATTATTAGCACTCTTTTTCACAATGCCTTATTGCATCATAAGCACTCTTTTGCACAATGCCTCCTTGCATTATCAGCACTCTTTTGTACCAAGCATCCTTTCATGTATAACTTACCTAAATGCTCACCACACAAACCTCCTAAATGTGACCTATTTGTTAGAAGGAAGCCTAATGTAAGCCGCTGGGAGGGACTGAAAGAACAGAGACCCAGGTGCCTATACTAGTTTTAATCTAATTACTAATGCACTTACCTGAACAGCTGCAGGCCTGTGTTTCAACAGCAAAATGGGGCTTTGAACAACTGACAGCCTAAACTGTTTAAACTATAGGCTTCCATCTGTACCCCATATGCAGTCCATCATCACCAGTGGGAGGAGGTTTAACCAACCCCATACAAGGTGGAACACCAAGAATAGGTATACCCAGGTAGTCACCTTATGGAAGTGCTGATTACTGGGTCTTCAAGAATAAAGGCTTAGACTCGGCTGGGCCTCATGTAGGCAGTGGACCGCTGTCATCCCCTCAGGGAGAGAGATAGGTCAGACTCCTGATTGCTGAAGGAGGTACCCAGGCTGGCAACTGTTACAGATGTGCTGTTTGCTGGGTCTTCAGGGATAAGAGGCTGAACCCTGGCCTGGTATTATGTAGGCAATATATCACATTCATCCCCTGAATGGGTACCCAAGCTGGGCTGTTGCTGGGTCTTCAGGGATAAGAGGCTGAACCCAGGCCTGGCTTCATGTAGGCAGCATATCGCATTCATCCCCTGAGGGGGTACCCAAGCTGGCCTGTTGCTGGGTCTTCAGGGATAAGAGGCTGAACCCTGGCATGCAGTGGACCATTTTCATCCCTTAAGGGAGAGGTTGGGTCCGACCCCCGGTCACTAAAGGGGGTACCCAGGTTTGCAGTATTAACAATAGTGCGTTGCTGGGTCTTCAAGGCTTAGAGGCTGAACCCCGGCATGGCTACAAAAATATTGCCTGGTGAGCATAAAAGAAAATCTAGGCCTGCATAAGCAGACTCCTTCCAAACTGCTGTGAAGGACAGGAAAAAAGACTGCCTGATGGGAAGGGGGAGGATCTATTTATACCAGTTTCAGAGTTCTATTTCCTGTCCTTTCTGCTGTGAGGGGAGGAGCTAACCCCATGAGTAAATGCTGCCATGAATAATGTCAGGAAAATATTATTCCTGGCTACCAATAATGTTGGGTCAGACCACTGTGCACTTCTGAAGTTACCAGGCCTAACCTCTAAATCAACTAACTCTATATCTGGTTCAGAGCTTCTAGAAGGTCCCGCATTAGTTTGTTCTGGGTTTTCACCAACTAATGTTTTTATAGGGGAGTGCTGCATACTGTTAGGCTCATCATCATGATCTCTCTCATCTGCCAGAGTATCTGCAAAAGGAAATTCATCATTCTGTTCACCTGATGGGTTTTCAAAACATGCCCATAGGTCTAGAAAATGGGGAAAATCCCTTCCAATAATCATCTCATGTGC